AACGAGCGGACGCGTCGCGCAACGCTTATTTCCTCCCTCCCATCTCCCCGCTTCCCCCTCCCCCGACGCTCAGTGTCCCGCTGCGCTGGTGGCTCCCTGCCGCCCGGCAACAGGGCAGAGCGAGAAAATGAGACACGGACACCAGCGTACGCGGAGAAACAAATAAGCTAAATCAAAACCAAACACGCTCACTGACAGAAGAAAAAAAAAACGAAAAAAAATTAAACACGGGGACTCTGAAATATATATTAGGAAGTAAACTTTCCCAAGAAAAAACACCACTTCCTGCGAGGCATTCTTCAAACATTCCATTTTTTCAGGCTGTTTGTTGTGGGAATGAGCTTGTATAAACTGTAAGCCACAAAACAATGAACAGAAGCAGAAACGAAAAGTTAATGCGTTCTTTCAACAGATCGGCCTAGGCCTCATTCCACGTCGAAAATAACTGAGCATCAGGGATCAGTTGGCCGACTGTTCCTCCTTGATGAGCTCCAGGATGCCGTCTTGCATCTCCTTCACTGCCTCATACTCGGAGAGGCCGAGGCGGCGCTTGTTGCTGATGTCGTAGACACCGTCGGGACTGTCCGAGTGCTCGCCGGCCGTTCCGCGCACCTGCAGGTTGTATTTTGCCGCCACCTCCTCCAACTTCTTGAGGTCTGCGCCGAGCTTCGGGAGCTTGATGTGCACGCTGGCACGGATGGTCGTGCCGAGGTTCGTTGGGCAGAACGTCAGGAAACCAAGGCGGTCGTCGCGCGAGAACTTCACCTTTTCCTCAATGATGTTAACGGCGTTGACGAGGCGGCCGAAGACCTCCTTCAGGTTGCCGCCCTTCTGCATGGAAATGATGCGCAGGTGGTCCTCCTCGTTTACCCACACGAGGAAGGTCTTGGCGTCGTTGTGGTAGATGCCGCGTCCCGTGGGCCAGAACTCACAGGCGTGCGCCGCCTGCAGGAAGCGGTCGCCCTCCTTGAACAGAAAGTGGTCGTCAATCAGCTGCTGCTGCGTCTCCTTCGTCATGCCAGTCAGCGGGTAGTACGTCCCCTTCAGCTCGTCCGTCATCGTCTCCAGCTGCCCCTTCACGCGCGACTCCATCTCCTCGTACTGCTCCCGCTTGAGGCACGGGTTGAACGGGTAGCCCTCAAGGCTTCGCCCGCAGCGCACGCGCGTGGAGATGACGTACTTTTGGTCGGGATCCACGTCGACGAAGGTGCTGAGGTCACCAAAGTCCTTCGGGGGCTGCTTGTCGGTTGGCTTGAAGCCCTTGTGGTAGTCCTCGATGATCGGGTCAAAGAGGGGGGCAAAGACAGTGTAGGACTCGGCATCGGGCGCGTACACGCCGACACCGGAGTCCAGGTTTGCCACGCCCGACTGGATGACGTCCATGAGCGTTGCGCCCATCTTTGTCTGCCTCCCCTTCAGCTGGTCAAAGACTTCCTTCGTGAGGTACTTCTTGAGGAGCGAGTGGCAGTCGCCGGCGTTTTGCAGTGTGGCGAAGGCCGCCTCAAGTTGGCTGACAACCTCGGCGGAGACCGCTGCGGCTGCATTCTCAGTTGCGTGCCCGGCGTCCTTGGCGCCCTTCTTCGCCTTACTCAGCGACTTCGCCTGCTTTTTCTGCGAAGACTCCTGGGAGGCGTCGCCGCCGTTCTTCGACTTGTTGCTCGAGAGTGCGCTTCCCATGATGGCGGTTGCCTGGACGACGCTGGTGTGCGGGTATGCGTGTGTATGTGTGGGGGCGGCGGCGGCGGCGGCGGGTGCTGAGAAAAATTTAGGTCTTGAAGGACTTACTGCGGACGTGGCGAAGACGTGGATGAAGTGGCGGAGGGGGGAAGAAAAAAGAAAAAAAACACAGAGTAAAGAAGCAGAGCAACACACAAACACGCACACGCCCCTCAGCGCAGGCGCAGGGCCACCCGCACGAGCCCACCCCCTGTTCACACACGCATTGCGTGGGTGTGTGCGTGTGTGTCTGTGAGACCGGCGTCCCCCCTCCAAAAAAAAAAAAAAGAAGAAAAAAAAGAAAATAAAGCGGCCATGTTGTGTGTCTCCTTGCGGGTCGGCTTTTCCTTCACGTGTCTTCCTCCCCCCGCCGCGTTGTCCTGCGGGAGAGAACGTCACGCTCCCTCCCTCGGCCGGCGGTTTCGCGGCGCCGCAGCAAAAACAAACTATGCCGCTCTTTTTTTATTGGGCTGCGCATTCCTCTCGCTCGTCCCATTCCTTCTCTTCTCCCCTCAGCCGCGGTGTGGCCCCGCCACGCGCGCGGGGACGTCAAAGCAGAGGGATACGGGGGGCAGCAGCGCCCGCCTGCCACCGACACACTCACCACGTGCGGCAGCGTCGTGCGCAGCCGCGTCGCCCCGCCCGCGCTGGTGGAACTGCTCCACAGAGCGGTTCACCCACCGCATCAGCGCCTCCACCTTCGCCGCGGCGGTGGGGTACATCCAGCGGTCGTGCTCGGGGCAGAGCGAAAAGGCGGTGAGGGCGACGCGTGTGAAGGCCTCCACGAAGGGCAGAAACGCAAGCCCCGCGCCACAGCGAGTGTACCACTTCTCCACGTCTTGGGACATTTCAAGGGCGAAGGGCAGGACCCGCTGCTGCTCCTTTGCGCGCGGCTCCACGGCGAACGCCCCACGCCGCAGAGTCTGAAAGAGCGGGGTGAGCAGGGCGTCGACGTAGGCGCGCCGCAGCAGGGCCTCGCTGAGAAGACACGGGAACACGTCCAACGCGTGGAGCAGCTTGTGAAACATGCCGTAGGACACAACGGCAACCGCGTCTGTGCCGGCGTGTTCGCCGGCGTCAGTGGAAAGCAGCAGGGCGTGGATCCACCGCAGGTTGTTGTGTGCCTCCTCACTCTCCGCGGTGGCAGACGCCGGACGCCGCGAAAGGCCCGGCCTCTCGCTGTAGGCGTCGAACAGCTGCCGCAGCGGTTTTTCGTTTCGCACCAGCACGCGAAGGACGTCGTCAGCAGCCAGAAACGCTCCCCCGTCACCTCCTGCTTCGTCGTTGCGTGCATCATCCGCCGCCCGTCGCAGGTGAACGTTTACGCGCCTCACCTGCCGCACGGCGTCCGCGTAGGCCTCGACAACCTCCGCCCCGCTAAGCTCTTCGATCGACACATGCGTCGCGCGATCCACGCGGCTACGCAGCTCTCTCTCCTCCTCCTCCTCCTCCGTCCTCCTCGTCTCGCACTGCCGCCGCAGCCAGCAGTGGAGGGCGAGAATGACGCGGCAGAACTGAGCAAAGTCCATGACGGAGAGGACACGATACCCGTGGTGCCTCACACTCAGCCCGTGAAGCACCTCCGCGGCGCAGCGCCAGTCCCGCCAGCAGGTGACGCCCGCGGCGGCGTTCTCACTGCCGCCCAAGCCGAGAGCCGCTGGCGGCACGCAGGCGCAGGAGGCGGCCAGGGGCGGTGTCCGCGGTGAATCCCTGCCAAAGTACTCCGCGTGGGTGAGAAATCGCCAGAAGCGCATCAGCGAGAGCGAGCACGACGCGCCCAAATGCTCTCGTCTCCGCAGAGGCTCCAGGCGGCACACGTCTGTCATGGTGGGCGGGGCGGGGGACCTGCTGGCGTAGTACGCGTAGACTTCGAAGAGCCGTCGCGTGGCCGCACCCAACGGACCACCGCTTGCTGACGTCGGCAGGAAGTGGACGCGGGTCGAGACGCCACTGCGCCCCGCGAGAAAAGGCGACGCCGTTTCTCTGAGACTGTCTGTCCGGTGAAATCTGTGGCCGCCCCCATGGGTTTGCTTACGCCCACGTGCAACGGCGTCGGAGTTCCCATGAAGGCATGCGTCCCTGCGTGGCAGACCGGCCGACGCCACCACGCCGCACTCCTCTGCGGCGAGCGAGGTGATGGCGGCGGCCTCAAGGTCTACGCGTGCCCCGTCCCCAGCGGCTTCCGCCCGGCCGTCCGGCACCAGCAGCGAGACGGTTCCTTGCACCCCACTGCTAACAAGAAATGCGTCACGCGCGACGCCGTTGGAAGTGGTTAGGCGACAGAGCAAAAGGTGCGAGCAGGCCATTAATCCCGCGGGAAATGAAGCTGCATTGGGGAAGCTGTGCAACCCAAGAAAGGTCTCCACCCCGCGCGAGGACACCAGGTGCAACGCCCCATGCTGACTGTCCGCAACCAACACCCCTCGCCCATCTGGGGCCAGCGCCAGCGTACTCGGCGTGCCCAATGAAACCCGCTGCGGCTCCTTGGCGTCAAAGTATTGCCCCATTTTCCCGTGCAGTCCACCGGCCACAGTCCACACGCGACATGTGGCGTGCGTCGTGGCTTCTTCTGAAGCTGCTCCAGGAATTTCAAGTTGTGCTACGCGCTGAGGTGAACCCGCCGCCTCTTCCCTCGCTGCAGCCGTCATCTTCCTCTTTTCCTTCAGTCCCGTGATGAGTCGAAGCGCGCCGTTGGGCTTGTCGAGGAATAGAAGCCCCGACGTACACCAGACAAGGGATGCGGCTTCCTGCAGTCGGGAAACGCAGTACTCGCCGTCGCGGTAGCCCGGGACACCGTCCATACCCAAAATAGTGCGCACCATTTCGCTTCGAAAGTCAACGTGTCGCACGGCGTGGTTTCCACGGTCACTGACGAACAATACACCACAATGAGGTGTCCCGCGCCGTGGGTGCGGTTGCCTTGGCTCCCCAGAAGCGTCCGCTGCAGCAGCCTCGTCGTCCACACGCCAGCAGAGCGCTGCGGGAGAGGCAAAGCGCGCCGAGTGAAAAGTTCCGTCAACAAATCCTTCTATACCACCCAGTAGTGCCGTTGGCCTCGACGCACGCCCCGACTCTTGTTGCTGGGGTTGCTCTTGCGGCGATGGCAGCAGCTGCTGCTGCGGATTGACGTCATCCGCCGTTGCAACATCACCGTCTCCACCGTTGCACCCCCGGTACTGCGTTTGTGTCACCAGGCAGACCGCCAGCGTAGCGGTGTCGACCTCCACCGCCCAAATCGCATGCGTCGCCGCGTCAGCCAGAAGAAAGGGATAGCGTTGGCCTGGAGCATGCGACACAGGCCGCGCCGGCGGCGGGCCACGACGGACAGAGCCCTCCGCTGCTGCCGCAGGCAGCTGAAGACTCCCACCACCCGCCTCCCCCGCCGCCTGCTCACTCCATGGTGGCGGATGCACGCTGTAGTTCTGCACACATCCCGATATGTCGGCGATGGGAAGACGACTGGGGAGGGACGTTGGGGCACCACCCGGACACAAACGCACGACATACACCGTTGAACCCTCATCCCGCTGGCGGCCCTCCGAGCCGCAGGCCACAAACAGATGTCTGCCGTCCATCGGGAACGTAAAAAGAGGAGGACCCAGTTGGCACTGACGTCGTGCCATCACCGCCTCCCCAGTGGCGGGTATCTGAAAAAGAGTTTTGCTCACAAATAACGTTCCCATGTTGCGTGGACGCATGAGGAGTGGGGTGACCCCCGCCGCGGCGTTGTGAGCGTGGCACACAGCGCCATCTTCATTGCAGCTCCGCCGCCTTGATTCCGTGCTGGTTTTGCCTCCCGCTGTGCGGAGGGTCATGAGCGTCACCTACGCTCGCTTTTGCGGCCGGGGCCACGTCGCGGCAAGGATGGGCAAGCGTGAGGGGGCGGGGGAGGAGGAGACGTGAAGAGCCAAAGTAAGTGGGGGCAAAAGAAGAAGAAGAAACATCCGTCGTGCATCGCAGGCGCATTATTCATTAGGAAAAAGCAAAAAGAAAAAAAAGAATAATAAGTAGGTGGACCGCGTATTCCCCGGCATGCAACAAGGCGTGCCTGGGCAGAGGCAGAAGCGGCAGGAGGATGGTGGTGGAGGAAGTTCACACAGACACACACTGGTGCACCTGCACCTTTTCAACGAGGGAAAGCGGGTATCGAGCGAAGTACCGGTAGAAACTCCTGCGAAACAACGGTTGACCAGACGGCACAAAGCAACAACAACAACTACAAGCACACACACGCACACACCATTCCGCTGAAACGGGGAAGGGGCCACGCCGCCTGGGATCTATAGTGCCGAAACACATCTATGTAGTTAGCCGTTTATACGCGCCCCACACAACAACAGCGACAAGCCGATGAAGCAAGATGCCCAAGAAGTAAAGCAGAGAAGAAAATGTCTTTCATGTATATGTATGTATATATATATATATCTTCTCACTGCTGTTCTTTTCGCATTATTATTACCTTTTTTTCTCCCTTTTGACCTTTTCACTGTGTTACCCCACTCCACGCGTTCTGTTGTCGCGTTCGCCGTGCGACGCCGCATGTCTAGAAAGGGCTGCCGTTGCCGGCCAGCCTGCTCAAGTCGAGCTCCGCCGCGACACGCGCAACCCCCACGTCATTGTCGGACTGCAGGCGCTCGGCGCACTCGCGGACGAGCTCGCGCTGGGTGCCGCACTCCGCGTACCAGCCCCAGTGCGCCAGAAACGACTTCGCGACCGCCAGGCGCACGTTCGAGACGGCGTCCTCGGAGAAGCACCGCACCAGTCGCATCCACTGCTGCATGAGCTCCTGGCGGCGCAGATCCATCGGCGAGAGGCCACTCACCACTGGGAGGATGCCCGAAAGGGATTGGATCGCCACCACCCTCCAGATGTACGGCGTGCGAGCCCGGAACGCGAATTCCTTCTGCAGGAGGTCAAACGCCATGAGGGCGGCCCACTCGGGGCCGTAGGCGGCTGCCACCGCTGACAGCGTCGCAATCGCGCTCTCCCGCACGGCGCAGACAGGGTCGCGAAGCATCGAACGAATGATGTACACAAGCGGAGTGAATCCCTCTTCGCTGAGGGCGACGCAAAAGTGGCGAAGCGCAACGACCAGCGCCTCACGCGTGCGCCAGTTCCTCGAATCGCTAACTATGTGAAGCTGATCCAGGAGCCCTGACAGGACGACGGCGGCGCGCTCGCGCTGCGCCTCGTCGACTGGCACCCCCGCCAACGACGCTGCGGGAGCACCGGTCTCTGCCCGAGCAGAAGGGGGGCTGCTCATGGCGCTCCCACTGCGTCTGCCTTGACGACTGTTGCCCGACGCGGGCGAGTGCCTGCCCGCAGCCCTCCATTCACCGTCGCTTCCGGCGGGGTTAAGATACCTGCCGAGGTTCGCCGCGACGAGCTCCAGGTTCCGCATCGCACTGCGCCCCACGATGTAGTTCTCGTCGGTCAGCAGGGCGAAGAGGGCGTGCCGCTGCTCCGGCGTGTACACCACAACGGTGCTGGGGGATAGCAGGACGTAGAAAAAGTTTGCCACGCTCGCCCGCACGATGGCCGCATTGTCTTCTGCGAGCGATGCCACCACCGCACACATTTTCCCCAGCACCTCCGGTGAGCCCACGTGGTGAAAGAACACACCGAGCTGTTCCACGGCGGCGGCGCGGATCTCGTCCATCGCGTCCCCGCAGAGAGCGACAAAGACGACTAACAGGGACTCCGGGTGCACGCAGCGGCAGGAAAAGTCTCCGAGATGCCTGGCGGCGATGTATCGCACACGCCAGCTGGCGTCTCTACTTGCCTCGATAAACGGCAACTGCAGGTACTTCGTCGTGGCCTCCTTTCCTATGCACTCCGCGAGAGTGACAAGTTCGGCGACGTGCAAGTGACGCACTGCGTCACTCTTCTCTTCGCGCATGCACTCATGCACTAACGGGAGTGGCATTTCGGCAAGATTCACGCCGTGGGCCTCCGCCACAGCCACCCACAGATGCAGCGAGCTTACCACCATCTCCTGCACAAACTGACACCTGTCACTGGAGAGGTCAATGAAGCAGTTAAACCACTGCATCAATGTCATGCCGCTCTCCTCCACAAGAGTCGGGCGGGCGGCAAAGACGCCTAGCAGCGCCGCGGCCACGGCTCTCGGGGAGCTCCAGTAGGAGACGACCATAGACATTAGGAGAGGGAGCAGCAGGTTCACGGCGATGTCGTCACTCACGTACCGCACAACTTCCTGCAACGACGCCGCCACCACACGCACGACGACGTGATCAGCGGCGCAGCACAAATTCATGATAAGTCCTAAAAAGTACATGAATGAATCTTCGCTCAGTCCCGGCACCAGTTTCACCACACCCGGCAGTACACGGGCAACCGCACAGACAGAATCCTCGTAGTTGGCAGCCAGCAACAAGACAGGAACGAGCTCCTCTACAAGCTTCTTCGTGCTCATTTGCTTTGTGAGGCGCAACACGTCGGCGACGAAGTTGCGACGACCCTCCACCGTGCCCAGGGCGTAGCTGTACTCCACCGGAGGCTTATCCCGGTCTGTGCTCAAAGTCACACTCGGCGTGACGGAGGTGACGTGCGGCATGCCGCTCCCGCTGGATGCGCGAGGGCTGAGGGAAAAGGCGGGGTTCAGCGAGCGCCGCGGGTTCACCGCGGCGGGGGACTGGCTGCTGGGCGTCGTTGGACTTCGCTCCGCGCTGTCGGAGCCGAGCTCCGTGCTTTCCTTCGTCCGCCGCCGCCGCCGCCGTATCGCGAGGGTGTCGATGGCGGGGACCGCTAACATGCTCGGGGAATCACCGTCCCCCGCCTCGTCAGGCGCAAAGAGCGGCGGGGAGGAGGCGAGCGACGTCCTCTCGCGCGCCACGGCGGAGGCAGCCGAGAGGGAACGCAAGCCTGCGTCGTCCTCCAGCGGCGGAAACGCCTCCTCCGCCGGCAGCGCCGAGTCCATGTAGTGGGGCGGGCTTCGGCTGCAGGAATACATCGGACGAGCTCCAACAAAAGCCAACGGCCACGACGACAGCAACAAGAGCAAAGTTGGTGTGAGTCACTCGACGACGGTGCAGAGAGGGATGTATCCCCCCGTTGGCCTCCACTTCTTCCCCTCCGCTTCGCCGCTCTCGCAGCCGGTGTGCGTGTGTGTGTGTGTGTGTGTGTGTGCCTGTGGGTGGTTGGGCGCTTCTTTGCTTTTTTATTCTTCCTTTTTGCCTGGGATTGCCTGCAGCGTGCGCGAGAGTTTGCTGTGCGCTGTTGCAGGACGGGATTACTAGCAGGAACGGCTAGTGCCACAACGCGTCGGTGGCAGGCAGCGGGGGAAGAGTCGACGCAGCAATCCACCAAAAAGCAAAAGCAAATAAAAGACCGGAGAGTCACACACACACACACACAGAGTCACATACACGGCACAGTGACGTTCGACACATACCCACCTGGACGTGCATGCCTGTTCAAACACACACACACACACACACAGACATATATATATATATATTTGGGTAAGGGGGGAATAAGGGAGAGGAAGGGGGAGAAAGTAACTGGGGCCATTTACCGGCCCATAACGATATGCTATTTTTTAGTTCTTTCGTTTCCTTTTTTTTTCCTTCGCCGCCTACACACACACACACACACGCCTCCCCTCTTCCCCTCCCCTCCCCTCCCCCACCAAAGCTACATACATACATACCCAACACCGCCCGCCAACGAGGCTCATGAGTGGCGGCGGAGAAGTACACAGATGCGTCTCTATTTGAGCTGCTGCAACACGCGTGCATGAAATACGGGGGGAAAAAAAAGCAACAACAACAACGACTGCAAAAAAAGAAAAAAAAAACAAAACTCTCCACTGCCACCGCAGAGGAAGAGAGTCACCTACACACACACGCGCAGAAACAAACCATCCCACACAACTGGGCGTCATTCGCGGTATCAAGTCTTCGCTTTGTTTCTTTTTCTTTTTCTTTTTCCTTCAGCTTGGTCTTTTTCTTTACTTTATCCACCTTGTTTCCCACGTCCCGTCTCGCATTCTCGGTCACCCCGCCTCTCTCGCAATGCCGCGTCGCGGCTGCGCTCAGCTGGCGTTGGCGAGCTGCTTCTGCAGCTCCGCGATGTCGGGTGTCATGGACGGCACCGGTGTGCAAAGGAAGCGCACCAGATCGTCGATTTCGACGCGCCCCTCCTCATCCGTCTTGACTTCCGCTAGCAGCTGCTTCACCTCGTGCTCCGGCATCTTCTCCCCGAGCGACGTGAGGAGGGTGATGAGCTCCGAGAGCTTCAGGCGGCCCGAGTCCGTGGCGTCAAAGGCGCGCAGCGCGGTGCGGAGGTCGTCCTCGGAGGGCCCGGTGTACGGCTTCTGCATGAGGGCGACGAAGCTCTGGTACGGCACCGGGTCGGGAACGCCCTGCAGCAGCTCGTTAAACTCCGCCTCCGTGTAGCGGCGGCCGAGGCTGCGGATGATGTGCTTGGCGTCTGTCTGACTCACGCTCCCCGTCTTGCGCTCGTCGAAGAGGTTCCACGTGTCCGTCCACTCCTTCGGCACCGCCATTGCTCCTCCTGCGCTGCCGTGACTTTTCCCTCCTGAGGCGCCCCACCCGCTGGCTCACTAACGCGACTTGGTATTCCTACGGTGAAGATGTGAGAAAATGTGTGCGTCCACCGCCAACTCCTGCGGCCGCGAGGCAAAAAGAGAAAAAAAAACCAAAACCGAAACAAAAAGGACAGAGATGCATCGGTGGCCCTGCAGAGACTCTGACGCATTGCCTCACCCGCCGGCCAATGCGACGTTCACCGTGGCTGGGCATCCGCGCGTTGACGCATGGAAAGATGTAGGGACGCAAACATGACAAGAACAACAACAAAGAAATCTACGGTGAAGGTGTGGATCTTTTTTTCTTTTCTATTTTTAAAATTATTTTCGTTCTGCCCCAAAGGACAGCGTTTCTTCTAACAACATAAGCAAAACATACACACACACACCCCAGGGAGAAGCAGAAGCACGTAGGAGCGAAGAAACACGGCAGTAAAAGGGGCCGACTTGCATGCACTCACCA